ACGGCCTTCCAGCATCCCCGCGGCCCCGTCCACCTGCGGATGTTGGGCAGGACCGGCTGGTTGAGCTCCGCACAGAACTGCAAAGACAGAGCGGTCAGTGAGGCCGGGGGCCCGGAGCCAGCGGTGCGGGGTCGGACGCAGAGTCCTCACGCGGGCTCCATTGCGGTGCAAGGACCCGAGTGATGACACCCAGGCACCGCACCTTGAAAAGCAGACTGTCCGTCTGTGAAGCGCACAGTGATCCCCAGGGGACTCTTTCTCTGTAGCCTTCGGGCACACACAGTGCAGAACGCATCGTCACAGCCTTTGTGTCCTTGCAAAACTAGTGCAGCCGAGGTCCCAGGAGGGCCCAGGTCGGCACCAACGCAGGGAGAACGGGTGACTGCGCAGTGCCTTTTCTCCCGGGCTTGGCTAGGAGGTGCAAACACCGACCCCAGCTCCCTCCCGACCGCCACACCGTTCACCCTGGTTTCACCCTGGTTTCGTCGGAGAAGAAAGCCCTGCTGTTGTGGGCGGCTTCATGCCAGGACCTGCGGACACCTGAAGACAGGTGGCTCCCCTGGTCACACCCGAAACCAGAGCCCAACCGACAGTCCCCTTCCCAGGGATGCCACTTTGATCGGAGGGCGGCCACGAGAGAGGTGACCCCGGCTCACAGCTTCCCATGTTCACCCCCAAAGACAGTCTTGGGGAACTCAGGTGGGGCCGGTCGGAGCACAGTGAGAATCATCTGGAAACTTATGGGACATGTTGATTCCCAGGCCCCGCCCGGACCCACGGAATCCACAGGGTCTCTGGGTGGGGCCCAGCATGCTGAGCCAAGTGCCGCGGGGAACAGCCAAGCCCAAGTGTAAGTTTAAGGTCAAGGTCACGCAGCTGGGAAGTCAGAGGGAGGGATGAAGCCAGGTGTGCCTCCTGCCCTCTGCCTCACAGGGGTGGGCCAGCCGGCCTGTACCAGTCCTCAGTCCTTCCTGCTGGAACCTCCAAGGAAAACAAAGGCACCCCGAGAGCCCTCCCATCCGAACCCTGCTGCCCATGGCTTTATTCAGAACAGCTGGTTCTCCGCCCACTCAGCAGAGGAAGAAATGCTGCTCTACTAAGTTGGGATGCTCACCAGGGCAGGCGGTGGAGATGGAAAGGGGGAGGCGTGTGTGGCCACAAACAGTCTCCCAGGTAACTGGGGCCTGCACACCTGAGTGCGCCTACGCTCCCCCTCCCCCCACACCAGCTGTGCCTCTAAAACCCCAGCGGCTAACCCACCACCTGCCGATGCCACGCCGGCAGAATCTCGCTGGTTCTTGTTGGTAAACCCACAGGTTCACGGGCCCATCCCTGACAGAATCGGAATCTCTGAGGGCCGGCCAAGGTGTGCCCTATGATGGTTCCTCAAGCAACCCTATAATGTTGGAGGAGCTGCGGACAAGGCCAGACATCGCTGACTGAGACTCAGCTGTCAGACTGCTGGTGCTGCGGTCTGCACAGACAGCCTGGGTTATTCAACACAAGCAAATACCTTTTGGCCCCACCCCGCACCCCGAGACACTGCCTCTGGCTCTTCGCAGACAACCTGTGGGATAAGGCGTCAGGGAGACGCACGGATGGCTCGCAGCAGGCCTGCCACAGATACCTCCCTGCACACAGATGAATCAAAGGGGCGTCCCTCTCCACGGCTTCTCTCTCCCAGGACAAGTTACAGGAAGGACCACGGGCTAGACATGAGTGGGTGACAGCACCTGGCCCACAACCAGCTGGGCAGACGGCAGAACCCAATCCCCCAACCCTTTGGGGTGGCCATAGGGGGCTCCAAGTCAGGAGTGGGAGAAGTGGGAAAATGGGGAAGGAAATACAAGATTCTCACAAACATTAAAATCCTTCCTCCCTCTTCCTCTGTCATGATTGCTGTGTGAACTCTATGAGGAAGAATTCCATCTGAAGGAACTCTTGCAAAACTGCCTGGAATAAAAGGTTTTTGAGAGAGAGAGAGAGAGAGAGAGAGAGAGAGGGAGGAAGAATTCCATCTGAAGGAACTCTTGAAAAACTGCCTGGAATAAAAGGTTTTTTTAGAGAGAGAGAGAGAGAGAGAAAGAGAGAAGAAGGGAGGAAGAGAGAAACATCAATGTAAGAGATAACATGGATCAGCTGCCTCCCGTATGCAGCCTGACAGGGACGTGAACCCCCAAGCAACTGAGCCACCCGGCCAGGGCAAGTTTACTTTTAAGGTCTAGTAAATTAATCCATTAAGTTTGGGGAAAGCCAAAAATAGTCAGAAAACACTGGTGGCCAACCTATGACCAGGTTTGCTTCTGAATCTTTAAACAACAGGATCCGAGCGGGAGGTGGGGGAGGGGAACCAGCATCTATTGAGTGCCAGGCACGGCTCATAGCTGGTCACAGGCAACCCTAATGACGACCTGAGAGGTCACAGGCCAAGCTCGCTCCCTGCCAGCAGGTGGGCTTGGCCAAGTCTAATGCTCAGTGCACTTAGGAGAGAATCTGGCTCAGGAAACACAAGTTAAACCCACGACCCACGCGATGTCACTGCGCCACCCGCATCACATGTTTTAGGTTCTCTGGAGCGAACCCATCACCTGTCAGAGTCAGTTTCATCATCGGTGTGTCGGCTGCATGGGCCTGGGGACACAGGTCTCCCAGGGAGGCCAGCACGGCGGACTACAGCCTGTGGCACTGCCTCTAGCACGTCCCCTAATAGGGACCGGGCACCCCAGCACACAGCCAAGGGTTTGCAGATTCGTAGGGCAGCCCCTGCTCTCCAAGCCCAGGCCCCGCCTTCATCCCTGGGGAGCAGTGATGAGCTTGCAGCCCCTCAACCCTCTGCCCACCACCCCCTTCGAGGTCAGCTCCGAGAACATGCTCTTTCCACGGGGACCTGGAAGGAGCTGGGTGACGTGTCCTTGCCCAAACCTTCTTATCGTGCAAGGAAGACGGAAAGCAAACAAGGAGACATTTCCTCGGCCACCACCGCCAGCTGACCAGTAGCTGCTTTTACAGACAAGGTGGTGACATCACACGCCCTCCTGTCGACAGACGGGCTGGTGTTTCCCAGACTCGCTCATCCCATGTTTTCTGAACGAGGTGGTTAAAAATAAGCAAAAAAGGGGTGGAGGATGGGGAGAGAAAACTTTCAAGGGCAATTAAAACATTTCTTTCGCAAGGGATACTGCTCACTGGAGAGTAAGGGGAAGTTAGAGATTCTGTGGAGATGAAAGTTAGAGCAGGGACGGAGGTGCACGAGCCACGGAACGCTGTGTGACATTCACTCCGCGTGGCCACCACCCTGGCCATCCCTTCAGGGACGTGCCCAAAGTCGGTCTCCTTCTCTGAGTCCTTGGATGTTAATACTTTTAATCTTCGATGGGAGTTAAGACTGTGACGATAATGTTGTGCTCTTTTCCCCTTCTCTTTATTCTTTTTAGCCTATTTTTAAAAACATGTTTTTTAAAACTGATTTTAGAGAGGGAAGAATGGAGAGGAAGAGAAAGAGAGAAACATCAATGAGAGAGAAACATCAATCAGCTGCCGCCTCCACGCCCGGACTGGGGATCGAGCCACAACCCTGGCATGTGCCCTGACTGGGAATCGAACTAGCGACCCTTCGGTGCTTGGGCCGACGCTCTAACCATAGAGCCACACCGGCCAGGGCTGAGGTCAATTTATGATTGACATAAAATTCACATATAAAAAAATTAACTATTTCAGAGTCCAGTTGAAAGTGCAGAATTCAGTGGCTTCACAGTGCTGTGTAGCCATCACCTCTGTCTCGTCCCCAAACATTTAGCCAGCCACAAAGAGAAGCCAGCAGCAATGAAGCAGTCCCTCCCCACCTCCTCTTCCAGCCCCTGGCTGCCCCCGTCTCTTCCATCTCTAAGGACGGTTCAGATGAAGGGATCGCACGATAGGGTGTCTGGCTTGTTCACTCAGCACAATGCTTAGGTTCATTGTTGGAGTGGGTGTTAGTTCATCACTCCTTCTTGGGGTTCAGTACTGCTCCGGGGTACGGAGGGGGCACATTCTGTGTGTCCATTCACCAGCGATGGCCACTGGAGCTGTGTCCACCTTTTGGCTGCCGTAGCTACTGCTGCTGTGAGCAGGCACACGTGGGTGTTTGAGGACCTGCCGCCGCTTCTTTTAGGCCAAGATCGCTTACTTCCTAATTCTCTCAGACCTGCCCACTGCCCTCCACAGCCTCTTGTCACCCTCGTCCCTCCCTGCACGCTCGCCGGTGTGTCTGTGACCTCGCCGGCCTGCTCCACACTGCACTCCACACGGAGGCCCCGCGGCCTTTTCTAATTCCAGGTCTCTTGTTCACACCGCTCAGGGATTTTGCGGTCGCTCGCACGATAAGGTACAAAGTACTTTCGGGGCACACAGGGCCCAGCACGGCCAGGTCTCTGACCCTCCCTGTACACCCATCTCATCAGTCTGACCCTCAGCCTCTGTGCTGCGGCCACACTGACCTTTCTGTCCTGCAGACCAGCCGTGCTCTGTCCCACCACAGGCCCTTTGCATGTCCTGGGTTGTAGGCTTGATCCCTGGCCCTGGTCAGGGCATGTGCAGGAGGCAACCAATCGATGTGCCTCTCTCACATGTTTTTCTCTCTCTCTCTTCTTCCTTCCCTTCCACTCTCTCTAAAAACCAATGGAAAAAATACCCCCAGGTGAGAAGTAACAAAAAAACTGAGTTGGGCAATGGCCTCGATGTTTAAGCCGAAGCAGAGGAGCCACTCCTTCCACCCAACACACAGACACCAGGTGCTCCAGCCGTGGGGCCCGGGCCAGGCGGGGAGCAGGGGCCGGTGCCGCCCCCTCGGGGACCTGCCACCGGCAGTTTATTCCAGCGTCCCCTCCGCTCGGTCACTGAGCACCTGGGAGAGGAATGTGCAGCCCAGTCATTTCTGGAACATAGGCTTTTCAGAGCTCAAAAAAGACAGTTTGGGGACAAATAAAACAAGCACTTCTTCCCAAATTAGGCATAAACTTGTGAGTAATGATTGAAACTAATTATTCCAAGGGGAGGCAAGTCTGAAAATAGCCTCGAGTTTTGGAGGGTTCGGGGCTAT